TTTTTTATTTTTATTTTTTTTTTTAAGATAAAAATTGACGTTTCGTGGAGAGAAGAAGCAGCCATGTCACTGAGATGGCAGAACCGGACGGAACTGTAAGCCGATAATTAAGATGAATATCAGGTCGAATTTTCTTTCCCTTTATTTATTTTTCATATTTTATTTTTAGCAGATGAGTGAATGGAAGACAAGACGGGTGTTTGGAAATAACGAAGGTGATAATGATACGTAATTAACGTCGAGTCTAATTTGATTCTCAGAGATTTTGACCGAGAGATTTAAATGCAAGACAAAAAAATGGCTGATAATTATTATGTTTAAAATGAATATAAAAAAAAAGTGAAATCTGAGGGCGATAGAAGAAAGTTGATCAAAATCGAAATCGGGCATAAAGTAAAACAAAAGTAAAGGAGTAAACTATGACATTATGATTTATGCCCTCAGGTATATTTGGCGAACCTTTTCTTTGATAGCAGAATACGTCCGTTACGTTACTAGTTTATTTTTCACGACGTTTGGGGAACCAACATACTTTAATTTTTAACTGCAAAGCCTCGTGCTGGGTTACTTGCCTGCCTGCTTTAACTTTTAGATGTGCGTGTCCGTTCATTTAGACAGAAGACATATAAGCTGAGAGTAAGTTGGCATGTTTCTTCATTAATTCAGGACGTGGATACAGTACTCGTACCCTTCCATTAGCACTCATATCAACTAATTATAGGAGGTGGTGTAATGGATAGCGGCTCGGATAGAGGAATCGGAGAGCCGAGTTCAAATTCCAGCCAAATCCATTACGTTCATTTACGTTCTAATACCCCTGGGAAATATATGAATCTTCTTCTTCTATACCCTCTAGCTATGGGTAAATATGGCGTTGAATGGCAACTGGTCTACCACAGAAAGAAATGGCTACCCACTACGGGAAAAAATGTGCTTCGTCAGTCATTTATTGAAAGACCACGTATGGCTGTTTTATAATTTCTGGAACTTAAGCTAACCTGATTGTGTTGAATGGCAAATTATTACGTCTGTAACTCATTCCTCTGTTCTTACGAACAGACTTCCAGAATTCTCGCCTTTTACACTGTTTTCTTGGTTGGGGGGATTTATTCTGTAATTCAAACATTCTATGTCCCTATGATGGAGGTACGGTGGAGTAATAGATATCGGCTAGGATTGTGGGATCGGAGAATCAGGTTCGAATTCCAGTTGTGAATGATATGCATCCATCACTTCTCTCCCCAGCCATGAGTAAATAGATGAACAGACTGGGCCCTGTAGCCTTGATTGTTGACTAGTATCAGAGAAGGAAATCTCTAAATACTGGTCATCCTGGCTATGGATGGGCTCCGTCATACTGTCTTACCCAGAAAACAGTTGCAACAAAGAAAAGAATATCTATCTTCCTACATGACAGTGAATGCTTCACAGACTTGAAGAAACAAAAATATGGTTCTACAGAAGGATGCTGAGAATACAATAGCGCGAGCAAGGAACAACGAAATTTTAAAGAAAAGGGAAACAAATAGGGTACTTATGCTTAGATTCAGAAAAAGACAGTTGAAATATCTAGGGTAGATAATAGGGAAAGAGGGCTTGGAGAATTTGACACAACTTCGGTTTCCCTATTGACTGAAGTATAAAGATATTTTTTATCTACAACTATACTAAATTTAAACCAAATCCATATTTATAATTAAAAGAAAAAAAAAACTTTTAGTTCCAGTGAATGAGTTACTTTATGGAAATATTTCGAGTAGCAGTTACCAGTCTTGGTCACTCCTCCTAGTCGAAATATTTACATAAAATAATTAATTCGTTGGAAATAAAAGTTTTTTTTTCTTTTCAAATTTGATATGTCTAAAGCAATTGCTTTAGACATATCAAAAGCTTCTCCGTTATTGTGAGGTGATTGAAAAACAACAGCGCTAGTTCGAGCAAAGCGAAAGCCATATTGCTTGTCAGAGAGCAGATCAGGGGATGTAATGTGTTTAATCAGTTCGGTGTTGATTCAAGCCTCGAAGACTTTGCTCAAGAGTGGTTTGGAGACTGCTAGGACGGTAGTTAGATGGATCAGAAGGGTCTCAGGAGTTCTTAAGGACAGGGGCAACAGATGAGGTCTTCCAAAAAGCTGGAAAACAAGAATCGTTGAGGCAGTAGTTATATAGTTTGGAGAGGACAGGAGCCAGTTCAGGAGCACATTTCTTCAGGACAACGGCTGGTATCCCGTCCCCACCACTAGCTTTACGGGAGTCTAATTTAGAGACGATGCTTCATACCATCGATTGGGTTATGTGCATCTCGCTCAATAGATCCTCAGTTCTAGGAGGAAAATCGGGTATGGGTACACAGGATGAGTCGAGCGTTGAATTGGATGAGAATTTCCGAGCAAAGCATTCGGTCTTATCAGCTGAGGAAGTCAGGACCTCAAATTTATTTAATGAAAGAGGTATTGTGAATTTTCTGCTGTTCAGTACGCTCTTGCAGAGACGCTAATAATCTTTAGACCCGAACCTGCAAGATGAAATATGTTCTTTCATTCTTTCAGCAAATAGTAACTTTGCTTCATTGAGGACTCGCTTGCACTAATTACGGGCAGAGAGAAAGAGACGTCTGTTGCAATCAGATATGTCGCTACGGTAGAGGCGGAAGAAGTGATTCCTATGTGAAAAAGCACCTGAGCACAGAGCTGAGAACCAAGGGGATGTACGCGGTTTAACTTTACATTTTCTTGCGGGGATGAAAGCCTCGATGCCTACTTTTACCCAAGAGGAGACCAGGGAAGCGCATTTTTGAAGTTGGGTGGGTGGGGGGTTTTAAAGGCCACATTGCAAGGGACATCTCGAAGGAAATCACGGAACGAGTCCCAGTCTGCTCGTTAATAACAGATATATATTCTTTTGGTAGGAGTTTCTTTGCTTGGGGAGGAGTAGAAGGAAATGCTAACAGATACTACGGCATGATCAGAGTTGCCAAGAAGGCAGAGCTGCGTGGCGCGAAAAGACTCGGGGATGGAGATAAAACAGAGATCAATTATGGAAGCCATACCATCCTGGTTATTGGGGAACGTATGGGAAAGTCAACCACTTGTGTGAGGGATTGAGTAATTGAAAAGTTAAGGGTTTGTATGCTAGCAAGGTCAGTTATAGAGTTTTTAAGCCACTTTGTATGGTGGGCGTTAAAGTCACTGAACGCGAAAATATGTGCATATAAATAAAGAGAGATAGACTTGACTTCAAGTCTAAATTCAACTGTTATCTATCCACATGCTCTCTTGTTGCACGTCCCAACAACCACAACGTCATTTAGTAACTCTCTATCTTGAGTGGCTCATGAGCATTCTATTGAGGGAACAAGAATATAGAAAAGTATTGCTATTATTTTTATAGAGGAGAATCTCAGTGATTTTACATCTAACAAACGTATTCATCACTAGTTAAAATGTAAGCCTCTCACAGTTCAGGCCAGTAGTCTATATATGTTCAGTACTGGGGTAAATTTATTGAGCCTACTATGAACTTCTCAAAACGTGAAAGTTTACTGGACGTCTGCCATAATTCTATCCTGTGTACTAGGAAATGTAAAGGCAATGCGGCGGTGATTAGAATGCCGTGTGACCAGCAGACACAAAAGTTTCGATATTAGAGAATATAAAATATTTAGTTGCTATAATTCTGCCTGCGAAGTCGCATATCAAAGGCGACTAATCGCTCTGGGCGGAGATCTGATCGGGACCCACACAAAAATTATCACCAGCTAAGATGAAAAAAAAAAGAAAAGAGGATTAAGAAAACAGAGTAAAACGCTATGAATTTTTATGAAGTGTTCAGTACTTTCTCCGTGTTCTCAAGCTCAAAGAAATCGCTTGCTGTGACTTTCAGTATGTGGTTCGGGGATCGGAGGTTGTGTTGATGGATACCTACCGTTGGAAGTCAGCACGAGAGAAAAAAAAAAACGAGGGCAGAAAACTACAATCGTCTCTCTCTCTCTCTCCATATATATATATATATATATATATATATATATATATATATATATATATATATGTGTGTGTGTGTGTGTGTGTGTGTGTGTGTTAGAAATTATGTTGAGTGAGAATATGCAAGACAAGGATTTTGCATTCGTAGGCTGTGTTATAACTCACCCAGGCATTTGTCATTTTATTTGACAGTCAGATTTATTGGACACAGTCACGGTGTCCACCTACTCGTTTTGACGTCAAAAGCGTGGAATAATGCTCGACATGATATATATATATATATATATATATATATATATATATATATATATATATATATATATATATATATATTTTTAAAGTTCGTGTTCATCAATCAATTTCTCTGCGTCTGCATTGAAAAACGAATGGATAAATACGTATATATTTTGCAGCCTTCATGTAGGACAGACATCGAAACACACATGAACGCACACATGAATATACATAATTATGAATATATATATATATATATATATATATATAGCATAATGAGAAGCCACGTATACTTTCTTAATATGTATATATAGAAAAAGATTCAAATTTTATTTAATGAAAGTATTTATTTATTTATATATATATTTGATATTTCAAATTGTCCTCAATTTTTCATCAGAAATAACTGTTTGTTACAAATAAATTAAAATTACTGTTTGTTAGCAAGTAGCGTCCTTCACGAGACACCGACGTCACGTGATATGGAACGTCACTGTTCGGATATTCCTAACTTAAATCTAACTGTCATAAATATTTAAAAAAAAAAATTTTACTATATCTAAAAAAATTGCTTAACTATTGAAATATTTATAAAGATTTAAAAAAACCTAAGTCCCTATTCAACTCTAGTTTATGTGTATTTAATTTTAAAATCCATATTTTTTTTTTTTTCTGCGTGTTAATGTGGAAGTAAAATCGGAATCTATTAATAAACATTTGCAGTTTTCTAATGTGTGTCCTGATTGATTGTGGTGTTTAGCTATGGGAGAATAAGGGTTGTTTTGACGTAGGCAAGGTGGACAGAGAGGCATATTGGAGGCAAGAGGGACAGTGGGACATATTGGAGGCAAGAAGGACAGAGGGATATATTGGAGGCAAGGTGGACAGAGAGGCATATTGGAGGCAAGGTGGACAGAGAGGCATATTGAAGGCAAGAGGGACAGTGGGATATATTGGAGGCAAGATGGCCAGAGAGGCATATTGGAGGCAAGAGGGACAGAGGGACATATTGAAGGCAAGAGGGACAGTGGGACATATTGGAGGCAAGGTGGACAGAGAAGTATATTGGAGGCAAGAGAGACAGAGAGGCATATTGGAGGCAAGAGGGACAGAGGGACATATTGGAGGCAAGAATGACAGAGGGATATATTGGAGGCAAGGTGGACAGAGAGGCACATTGGAGGCAAGAGGGACAGTGGGACATATTGGAATCAAGATGGACAGAGAGGCATATTGAAGGCAAGATGGACAGAGGGACATATTGGAGGCAAGGTGGATAGAGAGGCATATTGAAGGCAAGAGGGACAGTGGGACATATTAGAGGCAAGATGGCCAGAGAGGCATATTGGAGGCAAGGTGGACAGAGAGGCATATTGGAGGCAAGAGGGACATATTGGAGGCAAGAAGGATAGAGGGATATATTGGAGGCAAGAGGGACAGTGGAACATACTAGAGGCAAGAGGGACAAGGGGACATTGGAGGCAGAGGGGACAGAGGGATATATTTGAAGCAATAGGGGCAGAGAAATATATTAGAGGCAAGAGGGACAGTGGAACATACTAGAGGTAAGAGGGACACGGGGACAGTGGAAGCAGGGGGGACAGAAGGAAACCTCGAGTGAACTACTTAACAAGCATTTATAAATCAATGGCAGTACAATAAATGCGATGGAGGTTTGAGAAAGAATGCTTACTAAGAACTACAAAGGATAGACATTTCTGGAGGTCCAGATCGCACACGCCCTGAAGAAATACAGCATAGAGAATAAGAAGAACGTGAATTTAATTTCTTATGGAATAATTTGAAGGCTATCCATTCAAAAAAAGGGCAACTTTGGAATCAAGAAAAATACGTAGAATAAAACTAGTGATTTGAGGATACTTGGTCTTATTTGAAGTCTAATGAAAATCTTTGGCTATCTCCCGTAGGAAGTCATGAAATAATATAGATTAATTATTAAAATAAATTGGCTAAATTATGGATTGGGAAAATTAAGGAACAGGTTTGAAAAGATGCAAAATCAAAACCGTAGAAAATAAATGCTAGAAATATGCATAATAAAATAATTTATAATAAAATACATTTTTCGATAAAAAAAAAATAAATAATCGAGAACGTTCGCCAGCAATGCATCTAATTTCACATTTGCACTCTTTATCCATCAATTATTCTCCATATTGACAATAATCAGCTTTTCTCAAGCAATCTGGCAAAGCGGGTATCAAAATGCGTCAAAAGTGATGGAAAGTATGAATATTTACGTCTAAAATAATTAATTATTAATTATTCGCAAAAAAAAAAAGAAGGAAAGATCGCGGCTATTGAAATCTTAGTGAATGTTTCTGTCATTTTAGATTTCGTTCAATTTATCGTATTTACCGCATTCTTAGAGTAAATTAAATATAAATTTAACATTTGCCTCACTCTTGACGTATGGGCAGCAGTTATTAAACTATGAATTGGAAAGAAGTTAAAGACAAATCTCCTGCTGTTCTTGACAAAATTATTTAATTGATAAACTTTAATTTTCCGTCATTAAATGCCTCAAATATTCTGACTGGTTTACCACAAACTTTCATCATATTTAGGTTAATCTTTTTTATTCCATTACAAAAGAAAATTCTGAATTTAATTCCAAGAATCTAAATAGGAAGTTTTTTGTTATAAAATTATTGAAATCCTGTGGTAACAATTGATTTTACATAAGACGACTAATAAAAACAATATATATATATATATATATATATATATATATATATATATATATATTTAACATATATATATATATATATATATATATATATAGAAGATATATTATGTGTGTGTGTGTGTGTGTCATAAAAGATTCAATTAGATGCATCTAATCTTCTTCTTTCATATTTAATGCAATCTTTGAATACACTATTCTTAAAAAATGATTTAGTGTTGACTTCTAAAGTTTTATTTATATTTACATTAATAAGAAAAATCTCTGATATTGAGCACTTTATTCCGTTAATATAGCACATCTTAAAATTATATTTCTTCATATATATATATATATATATATATATAAAAAAGTTTCAAATTAAAAATTATAATGTTTTATTTTATGAAAGTATTTATTTATTTATATATATATTTGATATTTCAAATTGTCCTCAATTTTTCATCAGAAATAACTGTTTGTTACAAATAAATTAAAATTACTGTTTGTTAGCAAGTAGCGTCCTTCGCGAGACGCGGACGTCACGTGATATGGAACGTCACTGTTCGGATATTCCTAACTTAAATCTAACTGTCATAAATTTTAAATTTAAAAAAATTTTTTTACTATATCTAAAAAAATTGCTTAACTATTGAAATATTATAAAGATTTAAAACACCTAAGTCCCTATTCAACCCTAATTTATGTGTATTTAATTTTAAAATCCATATATTTCTTTTTTTTTTTCTGTGAATGTGTGGAAGAAAATCGGAATCTATTAATAAACATTTGCAGTTTTCTAATGTGTGTCCTGATTGATTGTAGTGTTTAGCTATGGGGAGAATAAGGGTTGTTTTGACGTATTGTTTGTTTATGGTTATTAAAACGAAATCTAAAATTGTTTCCAGACTCACCAATATATCCACTATTTGGACATAAGTTACAGAATAAATAATAGATTACGTTATGGGCATCGCAGGTGAGGTTAGGTGGCTGTATCCTGATATTGGTGTTGGGTACGTAAAATGTATTAGCTATTACTAAATGTTTGCAAACTAAGCAACGAGGTTTGTTACATTTGTAATTTCCTGTTTGGTTTCTATTGTTTAGATATTTGGTAGAGGTGAGGATAGCTGATAAGTTAGGTGATTCTTTCATTGCATTTATGGGTGGTTTATATATATATGTATGTATGTTTATATATATATATATATATATATAATCCTTTTTTTTGATCAATAAGAATTAATCATAAGTATCAATGCGATTATTGAACGACATCCGTCACTAGAAAACATAATATATACATTAAAATCCTGTTCATCCATATTGCATTGATACTTTTGATTAATTCTATGTGTGATTAATTTTTGTATGTAAATCATATGCTGCCTAATGTTTTATGTTTATTAAAAATTTATCGATCCGCAGTACATAAAAATTCCTATAAAAAAAAACTATTATGACATTACACTATATTATTGAACTATATACTTAGTTCATGACATAAAAAACTGAATACACTTGTAAAAAATAGAATACGTGGATTTAACACATCACAAGAAATATTTAAATAAAATTCTCACTTAAAAAAAATTTTGAAAAACTTAGCGTTGCGTCTTTGCACTTTTTTGATCTTACAACCGTCAATAATAGCAGATATTCAAAAAAATCTTTTCGGTCGACATACAGGTATATCGTCTCAAGTTTTTGATTTTATAAGAAAAAAAAAATATGCCTGATGATGGATGGAAGACCGTCCGTAAGTACTAGCATTTAACATCGAATAAACTGAAAAACTACAGACAACAAATTTTTATTCAAGGATCAAAACTCGCACTATGGATGAACAGGATTTTAATGCATATATTATGTTTTCTAGTGACGGATGTCTCCAATAATCGCATTAATACTTCTGATTAATTCTATGTGTGATTAATTCTTGTATTATCTCAAATCATATGCTTCCTAATGTTTTTATATATATATATATATATATATATATATATATATTCTTATAGTTAAACTTTATATATATAAAATCTGTCAGTCATGTATCGAAAGATACATGATCACCTAAGCGTGTATCACGCATGGCACATATCTGGCATATAGAAGACATTTCTATCCCAATTTTGCTGCCGACTGCTGCGACATATTTGTAAAGCAAAGGTAATGGATCTTTCCTAACGGTTTTATTAATATAAGATGGCAACGAGAGATATCGTGTCATTTACTATACATATTATTCCTTCTCGTATAACTGTAGCTGCTGTAATATTGCTAGTAATGACACACAATCTATGATCATTGTTCTGTCATAATACCAGAAGAATAACATACGCTCAAATCAGATAAATGTACCCATTCTTATTATTATTTGCAATAGTTTTCGAGAATATGTCATCTTCGAAGAACATTGTCAGAGACAGTCTAGACAGACTTCGATTTTCGCAAATAGACAATTGAATAAATATTTATTTTTCTTTGCATGCGCGTGCAGCAATCATAACGCGGACAGACAAATTTTCGTTGGGCCAGGTAAGTGGTGTTGCTTTGCCAACTCTTGTGTAAACAAATTCCGCTTTCAGTGAAAATAAAATCGGTTTGTGTGTGCGGGTGTTGGCGTCTATTGTGATAATTAATATTGAAACACGGAAGCATACCAAAAGGAAATGTTGACAGAATTGCTAGCAGATTTTGTGTCACGGGTTTTACAGTTAAAGAAATGTACCGTTAGAAAAAGCAGAATGAACATCCTGTGAAAAATGTCCTTCCCCTGTACATCAGTGTTCAAAGACTGGTCAATTACTGCGAAGTTTGGAAGAATTCGTATATTATGTCATATTTTATTTTCCAAAGAAATCAATTGAAAATAAAAACAAAATATTAGCCAACCGATAATCACAGATCTTTTCAGGATAAAAAAAGAAAATGGTAAGCTCATTGCCTTTTATTTAAAAATAACAATAATAACAAAATACATATTATTTAGAAAAAAATTTTAAAAAATATATCGCTTAGTTTCTTCCATAGTTTCCATAATATCGAGATATTTTCGAATATATTTTATAATGTTCTCCCATTTATGTTGGAACGTAAAATGTAACTATTTCATAAGGGTAACAATTTATGGTAATATAGTTATAGTTTTCTCAATTAATTTCTCCATTTGCCTTGGAGAATTTCCTCACAGAATGAAGCGCTTTGTAAAAATAATTCTTCCTCTAATCATATCTTTATAGAGACATGTATATACATATATATATAATCTCATTAACATGTAAAAAAAAAGGATAAAAATAATGGCAGCCCTAATAATAAAAAAGAAAAAAAAACAACGTTCAATAACATTAACTATGAATATGGCCGCAACGTTCTGGCCGTTTTTGGAAAATAAAACATTCCTATAACTCTAGATACATACATAACACACCTCATTCATTCTGTTTTAAGTAAATATGAGATCGTCCTTACTCGCAGTACCTTGTCAGTCGTTCTTAACGAAACATGTTAGCTGAAATATATATATATATATATATATATATATATATATATGAGCCCAGAATCATAGAAAAGAGGATAATAGATTTAAGTACTGTAACTGAAGAGTCATTATTGTACATTGACTGTCTCACAGATAGTAAGTCAATTTTTGTACAAAACCGACTCCAATTATTTGAATT